ATGGCATTCACATTATATTAGGTATTATAAGTAATCTAGAGATGATTCAAAGTATACAGGAAGATGTACATAGATTATATACAAATACTATGCCTTTTTTTTTTTTTTTGAGACACGGTCTTGCTCTGTCACCCAGGCTAGACTACAGTGGCATCATCATAGCTCACTGCAGCCTCAAACTCCTGGCCTTAAGTGATCCTCCCTCCTCAGCTTCCCAAAGTGCTGGGATTACAGGTGTGAGCCACCGTGCCTGGCTGATGCCTTGTTACATGAAGGACTTCAGCATCTGTGGATTTTGGGATCTGTGGAAGGGTCCTGGAACCAATCCCCTGTGAATACCGGGGAAAGACTGTATAGATGAAAGGATTGGCCTAGAATAGTAGATAAATGGCTATCCCATATATCTAATGTTAACATACAAAGCTTTATTGAATAATATAATTTTAAGGCTTTGAAGTAATCTACCCATTTCCTCATTCTGAATATACATCCTTTTGATACTATATTTGTGACTAAAGTAATGCCCAAGGTTGCATCATCAATTATGTGATAATATCTGAAGTACAACCCAGTCTTCCCAACTCCTGGGTTACTGTTTGCACCACCTCATACTATTGCTGCTCCTGCTCATTTCTGTGTATAGATAGATACTTGTCTGTTTTTAGTAGTGTTGTTACCAAAAACTTCACATCTCTTCACTGTGTCTCTGTCATATGAAGACTTCTGATGGAAAGGAGGATGCTTAAAGAAAAAGAAGCTTTTGTGTGTACATATCAGCTTCTGCCATCATTGTTGGGATAGTCGATTGAAATGTGACCCATAAGCTTTTCCCTATGAGAGGCAGAGGAATAGAGGATTATATATAGACTTAAAGTACTAGTACTCCTATAGTTATTACTTTCTTCCTTCAGGAATAGACTAACAATAGTGGCTCTCATTTATTCTATACTTCTTTTCTACCTAAAACTATTTTTAGTACTTTACATTTATTATCTTTCTTAATTTTTATCAGAACCCCCTGAAGGTAGGTAGTATTAAGATCCAAACTATATAAATGAACAAAGTAGTTAAAGCAAAGTAAGCAGAACAAGGATTCAAACTCAAGGATTTCTGACTCCAAAGTTGATGATCTTAACCACTCTACCATACTGCCTTTCTCTGCATATATGGGAAATATAACTGTTGGAAGAAAGGTTAGCAATGGCATTCAAGTAAAATCTTGCTCTGTAAACCAAAATTAACAGGTACCCCCGCTATATAGAAGTTCAGTGATGGATAATATTTTAGGACCGAGATCTTATTTTGTAATACTTATATTGCTTGGTTACTTATATGTATAAATAAGGTTGTTGAATGTTGACACATAATACTTTCTTTTTCCCTTTCAATACTCTTATATTACTTTAATGGTGGATTCTGAAGTATTGTTTTCTTTTCAGAAAAACCATGCCAGATGGATCACCTGGATCGAATCCTGCTGTCTGGCATCTATAATGTACGCAAGGGAAAGACTCAGCTGCATAAGTGGGCTGAGCGCCTGGTGGTTCTCTGTGGTACCTGCCTTATCGTTTCCTCGGTGAAGGATTGTCAAACTGGAAAGATGCACATTTTGCCTCTGGTTGGGGGAAAGGTAAGACTCACAAAGATGGATTATTAATTAGATCATTTTAATTAAGAAAATATTGGCTGGGCACAGTGGCTCACGCTTGTAATCCCAGCACTTTGGGAGGCTGAGGTGGGAGAATCACTTGAGGCTGGGAGTTCGAGACCAGCCTGGGCAACATAGGGAGACCCCATCTCTACAAAAAATTAGCCAGGCAGGATGGTGCACACCTGTAGTCCTGACTACTCAGGAGGGTGAGGCAGGAGGATCAGTTGAAGCCAGGAGTTGGAGACCAGCCTGAGCAAGAGCAAGACCCCGTCTCTACAAAAAATACAAAAATTAGGCAGGCATAGTGGCGCATGCCTGTAGTCCCAGGTACTCAGGAGGCTGAGGCTAGAGAATTGCTTGAGTCCAGGAGTTTAAGGTTGCAGTGAGCTATGATGATGGCACTGCCCTCATGCCCGGGCAACAGAGCGAGACTCTGTCTCAAAAAAAAAAAAAAAAAGACTACGTCCTTATGAAAGGTTGGGTTCTTGGAGTTTGGGGGAGAATTTCTTTCAAGAGCTGTTTTTGTGCTGTGAATCCCTACCACCACTCCAAATAGGAATGGGGGAGGTTTTTGCCCCTTTTCTCAAGCCCAGTGAAAGAGGTTTCAGCGTGACGCAAGAGAGCTTGATGAGCGTCCTGTGCAGTAAGTAGGACATAGTAGACTGGGTCCTGCCTTCTGATCAGGAAGTCTTAAGGATAAGAGAGATGTTACCTAGCTGCTGGTGATAGAACGAAAGCACAGCTAATGTGTTGGGATCATTGTGTACTCCTTGGGTTTATTAGTGTGTGACCCATTGGCAGATGGGTTGAGGTGAGTGGGAAGGGAGGAGAGGGAGAAAGGAGAAGGGAGAAAAGGGAGAGGGAGAGAAGGGAAAAGAGCAGGATAGTGAGAGCAGGTGCACGTGAGTACAAGCCTTTGTGTGCGTGTGGGGGGGTGTGTGCATTCTCTTAGATATTCAGAATTGTGCAACTATCCACATAATCAATTTTAGAACATTTTTAGACCCTAAAAGGAAATCGTGCATCCCTTAGCCATTATCTCCCAATTCCCTCCCAAGCCCTAGGCAACTACTAATCTACTTTTTGTCTCTAGTTATTTGCCAATTCTGGACATTTCATCTAAGTGGAATCATATAATATATAGTTCTCTGTGACTGGCTTCTTTCACTTAAGATGTTCAGCCATGTTGTAGCATGTATCACTACTTTGTTTATGCCAAATAGTATTCTATTGTATGGATATACCACATTTTGTTTATGCATTCACCTGGTGATGGACATTCGGGTTGTTTCTGCTTCCTTGGCTACTATAAATAATGCTGCTGTGAACATTCAAGTACAAGTTTGTGTGTTGGACATTGTTTTCGGTTCTCCTGGATATAAACGTAGGAATGGAATTGCTGGTCACATAGTGGCTCTGTGTTCAACCTTTTGAGGAACTGCCAGACTGTTTTCCAAAGTGGCTGCACAATTTTACATTTCCACCAGCAGTATATGAGGGTTCCAGTTTGTCCATATCCTTGCCAATACTTATATACAACACTTGTTATTATCTATGTTTTTAATTTTAGCTGTCCTAGTGGATGTATTGGCATCTCATTGTGGTTTTGATTTGCATTTATTTTCCTGATGGCTAATGATGTTGAACAATGTTTCATGTGCTTATTTGTTTATCTTCTTTGGAGAAATATGTATTTAGATCTGTTGCCCATTCTTTTTTATTTCAAAATATTAAGGGGGTACAAATGTTTTAGGTTACATGGATCATTTTTGTAATGCAATGCTTGAGTCCTGACTATAGGTGTGCCCGTCACCCAAAGAGTATTCATAGTACCCATTAGGTTGGCTTATTCTCCTCCTCCTTCCCCCTCCCCATTGCCTATTTTTTTAATTGGGTTATTTTTCTTGTGATTACTGTTTGCTTTTTGACTAGGCTTTTTTTTTTTAGTTGTTCTGGTTTTCTCCCCTCCTCTTCTTCAGATAGAAGAAGTGAAGCGACGGCAGTACTCCCTGGCATTCAGCTCAGCTGGGGCCCAAGCTCAGACCTATCATGTCAGCTTTGAGACTTTGGCGGAGTACCAGAGATGGCAGCGGCAAGCATCCAAGGTGAAAAGCGCTCACTCATCCTGATGTGGAGATAAGAATGGAGAAGTCCATCAGAAATGTATTTTGAATCTGAATTTACTCCCAAGAGAGTGAATTATAATTTTTAATTTCCTTTCTAGACCTGAGTATATAATTAATAAAATCATGGCATGCCACAAAGTCCTTAACTTATTACTTATATTTGCATAGCACAAAACGCTGTCAAAAGTGTTTTCAGGTGCATTTACCTCTGTACCATCTCTGTGAGGTGTAGGGCCTTGGGAGGATTAATGAGAGGACCCTTGAAAGAATTGAGACACAGTGAGATTTAAATGACTTTCCCGTGACCTCAGTAGTCAGTGATAGATGGATTCGTTTTCTAACTTGTAGCCCAGGGCTTCTTGGTCTGTATAAACTTAGAACAGGCTTGATAAACCACTTCAAATATGAACTTACTGATGCAACAGTGCCCGTAATTCTTCACAAATCATTATTCCTATATGCTGAGGTTGCTTAGCCTTTCAGCATAATTTCTGCTGTTTAGCTTTTAAGGATAAGCTATTGTAAAAGTGTATTGTGATTTCCAAATTCTCTTGTTCTTGTAACCATCTTTGCAGAATTTTGCATAAGGGATTGTTATAATGACATGGCATCAAAATATAAATGACTTTTCCAGTGATATAGTTTGGGATTTTTAGATCTATTTTCACAACCCATATTTTGTTAGCAATACTGTTATAGAAATATAAACCTTGTTTTGATTTTATTGAATTTTTTGTGGTTATGTTGTGTTG